TTTTTTTTTTTTTTATGGTATATCAAAAAGTGTATATTTTTTTAATGTGATTGTTGGTACATTTTACCAGTTTTTACCATACTTTCAAAACAAAAATTAAAATAGGAAAAATATGCAATATGAAAATAATTGAAGGCAAAATGTGTTTTACTGAGAAAAAACAAGATTTGGTTTTTAAAAAGCCTTTTTCCAAAAGGTACATCTGGAAAAAGGGGGGGTCGTCTTATAATCAGGGTCGTCTTATATTCGGGCCAATACGGTATTTTCAGTTTGAATATATGTTTAAAAAGTAATTTATTCCTGTGATGTAAAGCTGAATTTTCAGCATCATTACTCCAGTCTTCAGTGTCACACGATCCTTCAGAAATGTGCTGCTCAAGAAACATTCCTTATTATTATCAATGCTGAAAACAGCTGTGCTGCTTCATATTTCTGTGAAAATCGTGATATATTTATTTTTCAGGATTCTTTAATAAACAGAAAGTTCAAAAGAACACCATTTATTTGAAATAGACTCTTTTGTAACATTATAAATGTATTTACTGTTACTTTAAAACTATTTTAATTAAAAGTATTAATTTATTTCTATAAATAAAAATCTGTAACACTTTACAATAAGGTCTCTTTAGTTGATGTTAGTTAATATTTATTTTTTATTTTTTCAATTTTAATTTGTTAATTCATATTAGCTCACGACCATTAAATAATTTGAACTGATACAACTTTTGATTTGAATCTAGTATTATTAAGTGTTAAAATTAACACTAAGGATAATAAACAAAATGTTCCTTGTTAAATTTAGTTGACTAATATTAACAAATGGAACCTTAGTAAAGTGTAACCTGCACATCTTCCAGAGCCCAAACTTTTGAGCAGTAGTGTAATTTGCCATTTGGTTCACTTTTCTAGAACAGTTTTATTTCTTCTCTATTACTGATCAAACAGTAATTGTCGCAGACCCCCTGTTGGATACCCCCGGGCTGGAGAAACAGAGCTGTCGGCTGCCATGACTGCAGACGAAACAAACGAAAATTGTTTTGCGAAGTGGCAAAAAGTGCATGAAAGCAATACACTTCCCTGCCTCCGAGGAACCCGAACTCCTTTCAGCAACGCACAGAACTTCACGTTTACAGGGGACGACGGGCTATTGAAAATGAAATCAGCGTGGCAGGTTAGCATTGATCTCAGCGCTGCCTGTCGCCAGAGTCTAGTAAATAACTGCAGTCAGGGAAAGTGTGAGTGGAGTGATTTCACAACGACACCACATGTGCTGTGAATGAGAAGAGACGTCCCAAAAACATCTCATCTGCTGATCAAAGGCGGCTCTGAATCACAATCTACGACTCCCTCAAGAGAAGACCATGGCTGATTTGAGCTAATAAATATGACAAAGCTCTTTAACGTCTGTCGTGTGAAAGGAGAGCACCCTTACAGACGAAGAGCAACACAGAAACTCCTGAGATCTTCTTAACATTAACATAACACAGCATTTCAAAATTACTGTGGAAACTATTTTAGAAATGCTACATTACCACAACAGTAGCCTAGAACAATGACTAAATAGCTGTTTGGATTTTGGTCAAAATAAAGTGGGCTGTTGGTTAATATTGATGGGATATTTTAGCCAAAAAAGGTCATTGTTTATTCACTCTCGTGTCGTTCCAAACCTCTATGACTCTGTGTTGTTGCTGTTAACTAAAACTATTAAAAATCAAACTAAAATAAAGCTTTAAAAAAATAGATTAACTTGAAAAACATTGTTACTGTTATTAATGTTGTTAACTAACACTAAATCAAACAATTAAAAATGGTTAATCGTTAATCGAATTAAAACTAGAAAGAATTTAAAACTGTAAAAAAACAAAAGTAAATCAAATAAAAAGTTTGAGTTGAGGTAATAAAATTATTAAATCTGAAATAAATTTAATTAAATAAAAAAAAAACAGCTAAATACCTAAAAATGACAAAAGCACATACAATTTTTAAAACTTTAATCAAACTTAAAATGAAAACTGTAAATATATATTCAAATTATTTCAAAATATTAACAAATAATATAAAAGTATATAAATAATACTGAAATGCAAAAAAAAAACAAAAAAAAGCATAAAATGT